GGCCCGCCAAACCCCGGACCAACAAACTGCAGACTGGAAGTCACCGGCATACTGTGGACCAGCAGCCACCTCTTTTTTTTTATGCTGGGTTGAAAAAAGGATTGGCTGCCTGCCTGCAGTATGCTGGTCACTCCTGGTCTGCGGTTTGCTGGTCCATGGTTTGCCAGTCCTCAACATAAAAAAGTTGGGAACCTCTGCCCTAATAGGGATGCACATGTAGACACTGAGACATTTACTGTACAGTTAAATAATCAACTATGCAGTAAACATCTTGTGTAGATGTGCCCTTTGACAATAATGTTCACTGTTTGTCAGTGTGGCAGTGCACCTTTGAGGTCAAGGAGGCTCTTGGTTCTGGGCATGACTTGAAACTGCACCCTGCTGGGGATGGGTGGCCTGGTGAGGCTCCTGGTGGTGTGGGAGCCCCCAGGAAATACCAGGCCAGGTACCACCCAGTGAAAGGCAGGTCAGGGTGCTTTAATAACTTCTAGCCCCCACAACTTGGTGGGCATGAGGGCTAGGCCTGGCTATGGCCACGTGAGCTCCAGGTGGGGTGTAAGACCCCAGTAGAAGAGTGGGGCCAGGCACACCTGCAGCCACCTGAGCCCACCGGGGCGGAAGCCCCTGGAAGCCCCTGGTCAGGGATAGTTGTGTGGCCCTGGAGAGAGAGGGTAGTTGTGAAGGCCCTGAGAGGGCCAGGATATAGGTGGTCCTGCACAGAGTAGGGTTGAATGGGAATAGGCCTGAATGGCAGTCCCAAGGGTGCGTTGAGTAGGACCGAGCTGGGAGTAAGCTTGAAGGGCAGCGTAGGGGCCAGCCCTGTGAGTGTGAGGATAATGAGAAGACCCCAGGGTAGGGTGTGGTGTAGAGGTCCTAGAGTGGGCATAGTAGGAACCCCATGTGAGGGGAGTAGGCCAAGGTATGTTTTCAGGCACCTGAGGCCAAGGGGGGGTGGCCTCAGCCAGAGAGTTAGGGGCCAGTCCTGACCCTGGTAAGTCATCCACTGCAAGGAGGCTGAGTGTGGGTGGAAAGAAAGGCCTAAAGGTTGAGCACAATGATCTGCTGGTCTAGGGAGGGAGGGAGAGAGTTCCTGTGAGACCCTGGAGCACCAGTTGTGGTGTGGGTTACAAACAACATGTGGATGCCATCTGCGAGGCATGGGCTGCGGTGTAGGGGAGGTTTCAAACCACCCTGGCATCGGGACAGCGAATGGGCAGCCTCCCTCTTGGCTAATACCTTAATCATTTTCCGTCAAGGCATGGCAGGAGAGAGAGGCAGGCAGTTAGCCCAGAAACAGGTGGGCAGGCCAACATCCAACTGGCCCCGGGACAGCCCCCTGCTACAGTCAGATCAAGTTTATTTGTGCACATCCATCTTTGTTTTCTGCTAACAGAACCCAGACTTTGTCACCAAAAATAAAACCACTTCCCCAAATGACATGTTATTCAGCTGTCATATTTCCATCAGCAAAATTCTAAACTTTGTACTGGTACAAACAGACTTGCAGTCATAATCTCTGCAAGAGTGATTGCTCTGGTGACAATTTTAAGTTCTGTTGGCCAGAGGTCAAAATGACCAGAAGTCTGCTTCTTCCAACATGCTTTAAAATCCCAGCATATTTTAGAAATACCTTTTTTTTTCAGAGGAGACGGGCATGGGTCTTTGCAAAGATAAGGTTCCATGGTAGTGCTGTGGTGCTGAATTCAATAGAGCAGGAGATTCCACGATTTATGGTTATTTGTGATGCATGGCATTGACATAGCTATTGATACTGCTGAAGCAGTCAGAACTGATGGAGATTGTTTTTAAGTGGTTTGTATCAAAATATGATGCCAAAATGCTGTCAAGATTACTTTATTTAATTTTATAAGACCACAACAGACATTTATTTCTAAATGCATGACAATCAGTTTCAAACACAATCAACAGAAAGCAAAGGCCAGTGATTAAATAAATCTTACAGCACAGGCAAAAGAAAAAGAAAATGGAAAACATTAAACAAGCCTTCCCTCCCCAAAAGTTTTCTTAAAAAGAGGGGACTTCTGAAGAGGGAGTGCTAGTCTTAAGGATTAATTTATTCACTATAATGCACCAGGAGGGAGATTGAAAACAATAGGAACCCTCTCAAAAAACGTCCTGCCAGTATGCCTTTCTCAGTTACTGGCTGAAAGAGGCCTGGAGCTGTGGACAACGCTTCTGTCTCCTGCTGTTTGCTTCTTTTTGTCTTCAGAGGAATAGGATGGTCTACACTCTTCAAAATAAAACGTTATACTGTACTACAGATAAACACCTCTTTCTCCCTCCCCCTCCCCCCCCCATTCAGGTGTTTGTGGGCCAGATTATGGTACAGTAATTTTAAGCTTGCTTTCTTCTGAATAGTTATATTAAGTGAAAGAGATACTCTGCATGGGGAATAGCCGCATCACAATTTAGTCCTTTATTTCTTAATTTAAATAACTTTATACATTGACTAGTTTATTTTTGTTCTGTATCCTAGGTTCAAGGCTTGTGGAAATTGTTTTGCACTTTGGAGCTCCCGCTGATAAAAATATTGGCAGGTAAGAAACACAAGTCTAGAACCTGAGCCTTTGGATCTTTTGGATAGTATTTTCTAGTATGATTTATAATGCACAGTATTTGAAGATTATTTATATCTTCTGTTTGTATAAGCGGAAGGTTTACGTACAAATGTGTGCAAACATAATATCCTTGCCACAGCTGTCTGGGGTTGATGGCATTTTTCACATTTTGCAGTTGGAGATCAGAGGTTAAGATCAAAATAGTCCAATCAGGTGATCTAAAGTTAAGCTCAAAAATAAAGTGTACTTCTGAAAATCAGGTCACTGTTTAAGTGCTTAGGTATGGAGCTAACTCCTAAGTTTTGAAATTTTACAATTAAGTTTAAAAGAACTGGCCTAAGTGACTTGGTTAAGTTGCACAGCAAAGTTCATGTTAACATGGGAAGTAGAACCCAGAAGTTCTTAGCTCCTATTATGTTGCTTTGTTCATTAGTAACCTTTTGTTACTTTTTTAATATGGTAGAGGTACATGGACGCTTTTCAGTTTTTATTTTGTTCTTATTTATAAACCTGTGTTTACAGTGATGGAAACCCACAAAATACATGTGAATAAAGAAGAGCTGAAAAGAACATCAGAGATTCTAGGGGTAAATTATAGTGCGTGTTTGGTTTTTTTTTAATTATGCAATGTGTTGTAAAGGTCAGTTCCACACCGGCAGGGAGACTAGAAGGTTATCCGACAGAAATTTATTTTAACATGCAGTTCTATTTTGATCTTGTCATGTTCTATAACAGGGGTGCGTAATTATTTCGGGTGGAGAGAGTCCAGTTACCAAGTTTTGGCAAGCTGTTGAGGGTCGCATTGGCAACCCCGTCTCTTGACAGATGCCCTGCCCCTGGGTGCTATTTTGTGACCGGACGTCCTGCCCTCGAACTCCTGACCTTTGCCTCCAGAAGTCCCTTACCTTGCACATGGAAGTATTCCTTTCAGCAAGAGGTTTTGCCATCTTGGAACCAGAAAAATACCAAATTATATTCTAAAAAGTGAACATCTACAGCATTCATTAATTTGGTTTAAAAATATATTTTTTCCCTGATTTATGTGTTTGTGTAGTGTACATAGAGGTGATTGCACAATAGCTTAAAATGAAGTCTTATTCTTGTATGTTGTGGTGGGGGGTATGCGTTTGTGGGGGGCTGTGGGTATATGGGTATGTGGGGTGAGGGAGCATGTAAGTATGTGTGTGGAGATGTGGAGTGTGGGTGGGTATGGGGTTTGTGGGGGCATGGGTGCCTGGGGTGTGTGAAGGGATTTGGGTGTCTGTGTGTATGGTAGTGTAAGGGTGTGTGGGTGCATGTGTATGGTGTGGTACGTGTGTGGGACTCAGCCTATGAATGCACGCACACATGCACACAGCCCCATGCTTCCCGGTCTAGTGATACAGCCGGCAGTGTGGTGCTGGAGCAGAGTGGCAGCAGGAAGGCAGTGAATGGCTGGGGGTGGGTGGGGCTGGGCTGTTCAGACCTGCTCAGGTTCCCCCTGGGTCCTACTGCCCCTGGCTCTTGTCAACTTCGACAGGCTGCTGGGGCAGATAAATATTAATTTTCTAAATTTTCTTCTGTGGGAATTGTGTTGGTTGCTCCCTCTTTGCCTTCTACTATCTAATTGCTTCTGGCTTCTATTTGAAAAAAATCATATATACTACTTTATGTAGTGGAGCGTGAGAAGAAAAAGGTTGGCTGTTTCCTGTAGTAAGGCTGACTTGCTGATCTTCCATATGAGATGGGGTTAAAAATAGGGCTGTCAATTAATTGCAGTTAAAATGTGATTAACACGTTAACTGGTTCTTGCATTAATTTTTTTTAACCTGTTAATTGCACATGTGGTTTTGGAGCCTGCACTCAGGCTTGGCTCTGCTGCTTCCAGGCTGCCCAGCAGGGCAGCGGTGGCAGTGCAGAGGACCGCAGGGTAGCCCGAGCATGGGTTTCGTGCGGCTGCAGCAGAAGCCAGGGGTGGCGCGCACACAGACGCACAGGAGGAATTGCAGCCTGCATGGTGCATGTACAGCAGCGCTGCACCAGTAAG